TGGGTAACCTTGGGTGTATTTGTTCAATATGGGTATCAAATGAAAGCTGTTCATGAATGCTTTAAGATTGAGCACTTTTCATATAGCTGGGTGACTAGGGTCTCGAGATACAGACCAAAACGTGGACCCGGGTAACCTTAGGATGTATTTGTTTAATATGGGTATCAAATTAAAGCTGTTCATGAATGCTTTAAGATAGAGCACTTTTCAAATAGCTGGGTGACTAGGGTCTCGAGATACAGACCAAAACGTGGACCCGGGTAAACTTAGGCTGTATTTGTTTAATATGGGTATCAAATGAAAGCTGTTCATGAATGCTTTAAGATTGGGCACTTTTCATATAGCTGGGTGACTAGGGTCTCGAGATACAGACCAAAACGTGGACCCGGGTAAACTTAGGCTGTATTTGTTTATAATGGGCATAAAATGAAAGCTGTTATGTCAAAAATATGCGGAAGCAAATAAAAAAAATTAAAAAATTCATGAATACCGTTTTTGTGAAAAATAAAATTGTGTAATGCGGACAGTTCTTTAATCTTCTTTAATATAAAAATAAGTAGGGTTTTCCTTCCTGACGCTATAACTCCAGAACGCACGAACCGATTTCCACGGTTTTGCATTCCATGGAGCTAAGAAAATTCAGGAGAAATTTCAATAGAAAAGTATATGGTGTGTGAGTATCCCTCACGAAAATAAGTATAGCAGTGTTTGCATTGTTCAACTTTGCGTTCAACATTTGCGTTCAACTCAACGCAGGGTTGCACGGAAAAAAAGTTGAATGGCAAAAGTTGGCTGGCGACCAACTTTGTTGAAAGCGATTAGTTGAAATTCCGTTCAACCATAAGTTGAATGCAAAGTTGAACAATGAAAACACATTTTTATTGCGAATATTTTGATATTTTTTCATAGCTTGATATTTTTAGCCCTTCAACTTTTTTTTCGTGCAACTCTGCGCTGAGTTGAACGCAAATTTTGAATGCAAAGTTGAACAATGCAAACACACTCTATGTTTCATTTAAAGTAGATGGTGCCGGTGCGTGAAACATTGTTTAACAGCTATTCATTGTACTTTGCTCAGTTAATTTCATGTGACACTAGCGAATACCCGGCGTGCTTCGCTGCGCCTTAAAAGTAATTTTGTTTTGTTACTCCCTCTCACAACATTTGAAAATATTAGTTAATATTGCTGTACATATTTGTATAGTAGGGAGATTTTTTCAAATTATATAAATATACGTTATTTGAATATTGAATCAATACACGTTTGAGGAAAGGGTGCGATAGTAGACTCCAGTTATAAGATTATAAATTAAATTTCCAAGAGAAAGTCGGTTCTTTACATATTTTCTAATTACCTTCGAAAATATATTAACTCAAAAAAAAAGAGATAAACAATGCTTCATAGATCGATTTTTTTTTAATCTAACTTCATAAAGTTCTTTAAAATATTTTGTAAATGAGGCCATAAGAGCTTAGGGGGAGAGTTACAACACAAAAATACATTTAAGGCGCAGCGAAGCACGCCGGGTAATTGCTAGTATTGATATAAATGATGATTTCATATTTTTCTCGGCTTTAATATTATCGTGTACCATGGTTTTTCAATCAATTTCAGACTTTTTGAGCACTTTAAAAAGGTAAATGTATTCAGTTTTCAATAAAAAACAGTTCAGTCATAAAAAATTGGGTTTCATGGTCGTAAAAGCTAAAAATTTAAAATAATAATTTCAATTTCAACATATTTCCCATTAAAAAATCAAAATTATCAACCCGGAACCACTCGGAATTTCCGGATCCGGAAAAAACAAATTTCATATTTATTTTCCTTGCCAACCTCATGTTTTTTCGTGCGAAAACTTTCGGTTCTTGAAAATCCACCAAAAAAGGCCACTCTAATACATATACATATGTATATATAATAAAACAATACCTATACGATAAAAAAAGCAGAGAAAAAGAAACAAATTAATAAAAACGAAATATTTAAAAATATAACAAAATACAAATAAAGAAAATGATATTAAAACAGAAATAAAATTAAATGAACATAAAACAAACTAAATTAAAAGAAACAATAATAAAACGTTACGTTACACGGCAGCTCTGTTAAGAGTTCACTCAGAAACCACATAGGCCCATTGCACAGTGGTTCAAAATTGGCATTTCGTGTTCACAATTCACTGGAGCCTTTATTTTTTACTTAATTTGAAAGCTAATAAAATTTGAAAGAGACCAGTTGAGCCCGATTTTTGAATTTTTGTTTGTTTGTATTAATTTTTTAGTGCAAAGTGCAGAAAAAGAGGACATTTTGAAGAAACTTGATTCTCCAGTTCCAGTTAATAAATGTAACATAATAAAAACTAGTTGAAAACAATTGTAGGGTTGCGACCTAACCGAGGAAGAGAAGAGCATCATATTTGGTGCCTGACTGTCTTAGAAATGGTTACCTGCATTCTCACGTGTGGATGTACCTTACTGCTTCCTTGGTAGCAAACTTTTTCGTCTAAGAAATTCCTGCGTGGTCTGATGGGCGAAAAGAGAGCTACTGATTGAGTTAAACAAACAAAATCCCTGCATATAGCATGGTTTGTCCGGGGTTTTAGATATGATGTAGGCGATAGACAACCATTTTATATCAGATGGCAGTATATTTAGGATGGCACTGTGCCTGAGTGACCTTTCTTTCCGAAATATATCTAAAGATGCGACAGTAAATTTTACGCACAAATAGAAATCAGCATGCTCTCGAAACTTGAAGTCAAATATAGGAAAACTGCATTTTTGGTTTTTAGTTAAGATTTTTTTAAAGAACTTTGAAATTTCAAAGATATGTATTATTGAAAAATGCAGTGCAATGTAGAATAGAAATATGGCTACCAAATGACTTCAGTATAACTGAGAAAGGTTTTGAAAATATCCTTTTAATATTTTCATCCTTGAACATCCTTAATACATCCTCTAATTTCGTCCTTCTAACTTTATTAGCTTAAAAAGCTAAAAATATGAAAATGCCCTTTTCAATATCTATTTCTCCTTACGACCCAACAAATTTTATTTTCTACAGAATTTTCCCGAATTGTTATTTTACAATGCACTGAAGCGAAAAACAAGAAAGGCAGTTGTACTTTACTCCGCCCCTAGTATTGCGAGTGTATTGATTTTTTCGTGTGTTTTAAAATTTCTTTGCTTTTGTGAGCAGAACATTTAGAGCCTCGGTTGGGCAGGATTTTATTGCACCCGTTGAGCCTACAGTAGCTGATCTCTTAGTTGTGCTACTTTTTTTTAGCGACATAACCCTCAGTTAGAACTGGCCACCAGACCAGCGCTCTACTTGAAATCAATGACCGGACTATATTTAGCCTCGGCTTCAAACCTCATTTATTGGTTGGCATTCTTTTTGCGATCCACAAAAACTCTAATATATTTCAATCTGTGGAATAGATCCCGTTATGTACCCTTTCTGTAGTAGGGAGTAGCCCGTGGTCCTCTCACCGCGTATACGAACTTGCTGTGGCAACCTAATTTAGCATAAATTACTTTACCCCTTAACAGTGAAAGGATACGCGGCCGGATGCAGCAATCTAGCCCTACTTCTGTAAGCTCCACATTTTCTGCCCTTTGAAGCTTTTTCAAGGGAGAATGTTGCCCAGAAATTCAGATGGTTGCCTAAAACGACAATATTATGAAATGCGTGATCTAGACAGAGAGAGAGTATTTAAAACATGCACGTTTTATAGGTTGAGTGTAACATCAAACATATTTTCCACCATTAGACAAATAATTTTCTTGTAAATAAAACTAAAAAAAAAAATTCTTTTCATACAGTAAAAAAGTAAAGTTTGCATACCGTAAAAAAAATAAAATACTGCTACATAAAATCATAAATAAGACAAGAAACAGCTCCTGGTGATATGTAAGAGTAGCTTGAGTATTTTTCTTTGCTATATAATCGCTGAAAATTTTTCAAATCGTACCAAAACTAGTTAAGTAAACGTAAATAAATCGCTGCTATTGCAAACCTAACGACCTAACGCCGAACCACAACGACTACAATAACGAAAAGAACAAAAATCTCTGAAAGAAACCAGAATAGGCCCAGTGAACCACAACATCTGGTAAACGCCAAACAGCAATCATTAATCACTTATAAATCTACAAACAACCACATGCCAGGCAACATGCTGACGGACAACAACAGCCGCAGTTGCAACGGTACTTTCGCCTCCTCCGCGCTACCCATGTCAAGCATTTCCGCTACCGCTATGCAAAATATTCTCAAGGAGGACGACACTGATCAAGAAGACGGCGAGGATGAAGACGATGACGAAGATGAAGATGAGAATGAAATAGAAGATGATGCCACGGTACTTATTTAAATACATATTTTATTGTTTTAAGATATTTTAATAAGAAATATGTGTACATGCAAACATACAAAAATTGTTGGCAAGTTCCTTTCGAACAAAGACATTCACTTTCGCTACTGTAGAGCAGATACCAGTTGTATCTGTACGATTTTAGATATGCATTGCACTTTTTTCGTTAATTATATATATGCTTTATGCGCTTACATACATTATACATAGTAGTTCCCTCTCAGACACACGGATATGTTGCAAATTTAATTAGATTTCTTGTCCCAAATTGTGAAATGTTTTTTCTCTTGCTAAGAAAGTTTTTGAACAACTTTCAGGGCCGTTTTCAAAGTAAAGAGTTAACTCACATTCAGCAGTTAGTTGGCTTAGGTGCAAAGTATAGAAAAATTAAATGGTTTTTATATTTCTGTATGTATATCGAAAATTGGTTAGCGTGAGAGAACTCACTACAATGCACGTGCAAATAATTAAAGAAAATATTTTAATAACTAGCTTGTGCTTTCAAATGGTTCTGCTGCACTTCGGTCTGTTATATCGAATGCTACAGAATTATCCGGATTATTTTGATGCTCTTAACAAGATGGTTATCTTAATCGAGCCGGTTGCGATAGTTTCCTTTCCTGGGAGTTCTAGGGTACAAATTATATCTCAGGGCATGGCCAAGGTTTGTGCTAATTTTAAACAAAATCAGCCAATTCAGCATGAAGAACAACTGATCTTCGAAGATAGTCACTTTGGCACTTACATACATTTTTGCCGAGCTTCTCTTCCGATTTATGGTGTGTATCCTGATGTTATAATCCAAATGGAGGGACTTACAGTTTTCCGACGCCTCGTAACGGCAAATGGTTAAAATGAGAAGCTTTTTTATGGCAGAAATACACTCGGAGGCTTGCCATTTCCTACCGAGGGGCGACCGCAGTTAGAAAAAAACGTTTCCAAAGTTTTTTTGATGCTACTCGGGCAAGGGATCATTCCCAGGTGCAGGTATTATGCACCTCTGACCACTTCAACTACTGTACATATAACATAAATATAAACCTAGTTTCATGTCAATGCCAAATCGCTATAATTATTTACTTGATTTAACATAAACGAAACAAATTGATTTATATATGTAGATACAAGCATTTTGGAAATGTGGCAGCTCTCTTACCAAATCCTTTCAAAATAATTTGTTGCACATATTTGAGAAGCCTCAATGTAATCTTTCAATTAACAAAATTAAATTTGACTTTTAAACAGCTTTTTTGGGAAAAAGCTTTCTTTAGCATCTTCCGCTTGGCACCTGTATTGTTATGTTTGATGTAACTTCTCATTAAAATGAATTCGAAGTTTATCCGAAAAGAAGTTCGGAAAACCGAAAAAAAAGTCCAAAGAAATGAAAAAATATTTGAAAAGAAGCGGAAATGGTTCGTACAGAACCGAAAATCGGCCCCGTAGAGTACATTGCACTATTGATTTTTTTCGGCATAAAGTATAAATATGAAGATATCAGCACGAAATTCGGTTTAGATATGTGTTATAGAGTTCTGAGTTGACCTACCAAACTTTGTTCGGCTCGAGGCCCTATATCATTTAGTCGCCATATACCCCATCTGGCCGACTCACATATACCTCATTAGTTTTGATGTTTTTGACTTGAAATTCCGTACGTACGTACGTTTACGTGTTATGGAGTTCTGAGTTGACCTACACAATTTTTTTTCTTTGAAGTTAATGTAATGCTGGTTTTTTCCTCAGCTAAAGCTTAGTATACGGCGCTCAAGAAAAGCAAAAGCGCCATATAAAAAACGCAGAAAAATGGCAAAAAAATTCTCTTATATCCTGCAAGAAATTTGTTGCGCTCTCCACTACGGTTTTCTTAAGTTTTTTGTGAAAAGAGGTAGCAAGGTAACTCATCTTTGTAACATATATATGCCCGTTCCATTATTTCGTGAGGTTGTGAAATATCAGATGTCAAAATTTCATGGACACACAAAAGCAATAATTTAAAATTTTTTCTTGACCGTTTTCTTAGGAGATGGATACTAAGCTTAACCGATTTTGACCGAGTCCAAAACACCACGTCAGTCGTTTCTCTTCTGCGCCAATTGACGACAATTAAAAATGCCAAGTAAAGCAAAGTCCTTCTTCACCTGGTCTTTCCAACGCAGAGGAGGCGTACCTGTCCATTCGAGCTTATTGGAAATGATTTGCGTATTCGAAATTTTGTAATGAAATTCCATGTAAATATATTTAACGCAATCACTTTCCTAGCCTTTAAATGTATTAAGCATAAATAAATTACATTTTCTATGCCTGGTCTATAAACATTAAAGACCTTACGATTAAATGCATGCTTAATGTGCAAAAAATAAAATAAAATATTTGTTTGCCCTTCGACCAAATATTGAACAGAATTGTTGTTGTGGTTTTGCGTTTAAATATGAAACAGGCAACAGGTCAACAATCAACAGTCTACACGGAGGGAGCTCAGACCAATTAAGTAACAAAGTTATTAGCCTCAGAGTGGCAAATTTGCAATGCAATCTAAAATTTTCAATTGCCTATTCGTTAAAGGGGAGTAACCTTTAAAATTTGCTGATGCTCGCAATTCATACATATGTACATATTAAGTATTCCTCTTTTCTTTTAAAAAGGCACTCAACTTATAATTGAAGTACAACTTTTCTAGTCAATCAATTTTGCTCGTAAGTAATGGCAAATTAAATATACACAGTGGTTAGACAAATATTTGATGTTTTGCTATTAATGCAAGCCTGCGGTTTTACAACAAGACTACTCAAGCATTAAACACGTTTAAGAAATGTATGTGGCTCAAACTTTTGGAAAATTGCTGCCTGGGGATAAAATTTAAAGTTAAACAATTTCACTTTCTGTATACGTACACATATGTTTAAGTGTGTATGTATGTACATACCCTGCAAAAAATGCGACTATTCAGGGATGACTCCGGGAGCAATCGCAAAGGAACATGCGACTAATACCACTTTTGATCTCTTTAGGTGGGTTGAACTGTTCGCTTTTTTCGAGCGGGTATAAAAAGCGACTAGTCAATTTAAGAAAATAAAAATTTGCACCAGCTGCGATTCGAACCGGGGTTCACAGTTTTGTGCCAACGCCACACATAAAATTTCATTGAGTAAGTGCGTACATATGACTAAATTCTTAATAGTACCTGTTATAGATGAGTCGGGGATTAATTACATTAGGGTGACCCAAAAATAAGTGGGAAAATCAACTTTTTTGATATTTCCTGCTGAACCTCCCAGAAGAATATTAAAAATAAGGAGACACGTATTTTTTTTTTTTTTTGAAATCGGTTATTATTTACCCTCGCCGCCGGGGCTTTGAAGGAGAAAATACATTTTTTCGTAGAATTGCTATAAAATCGTTAATTATTTTTCAGAGACCGAAAATAACTGGTCCAAATTAAACACATTGTAACTTTTTCTATCATTAACCATTTATTTTTTACTTTTTGTGATATATCACTGTGAAATCGTTTTATGCGGGGCAGCTTACGGTTAAGCTTTGGTTTCCTCAAAAGCGGTAACATAAAAAAGCGGTCGCAACTTTACGTTGCCAAAAACGTTGTCATGTAAATAATACAAGATGTCAACTAAGATGACGGCAATACACACCGTTATATAATTTGACGGCACCGTAATATTTCTGACGGCAAACAGTGACGGTGTATAACTATTTATCAACGTTTTTTGGCAACGTCATATTTGTAGCGGTGTATTAGAAAATTTGTTTACAATTCTTTTGACCAAAATAAAAGCATTAAATATACATTTCTATGATTTTTGAATAATAAAGTGGAAAGTGCATGGATGGCCGAAGAGGATGAAGTCCTAATAAACTTTGTGAAAAACAATGAATAATGCATATACAACATAAAAGCGCAAAGTTACGTTACGTCCATTTAGCTTTACATAAAAGCGGTACCGCTATTAGCGTTAAGAATGGCGTTCGATATGATACGGTCGTAATTTTACGGCACCGCTTTTCGAGGAAACCAAAGCTTTAATGACTGTGAGAAATGGATTCGCTAACGAAAATAGAGGCCAACCGCAGTTATTGATGCAATTTATTTTTTTTTGTTGAAAAGGTGAGGTAGTTAATTTAATTATGGTGCAGAGAAAATACATATATATGATAAAAATGCAACGAAATAAAACAAACTATAAAGAATAGTAAGTAAACTATTTTTATTCGCTCAAATAATCACCGTTATAAAGTTTTTTATCACTACTCGTATCCAAGTCAAAAAAGCTGCGGAATTCAACGATTGATTTTCGACCCATTTTCTTCGCTTCAATAAATAAACTATACTAACTAGAAGCAAACTACCGAAGCACTTCACTCAGTATTTTTACCGTTGCATTTAAAACAAAAAAGTAAAACAAAAAGTCAATTCGAAACGTAAACAAAAACATCAAATCAAACAAAAGTCTAACCATTACAGATAAGTCAAAAACTTTTTATAAAAGTTATTATGAGTGGTTTATTTTTTATAGCAAGAAATAAATGACAACTTGTGACACAACAATAAATGGGCCGGTTATTTTCGGTCTCTGTTATTTTTTGTTCGAATAAGACCATTTCCCTTCAGAAGTCTTCAAAAAATAACACCATGATGCTTATTTAACTTGAAAATTTTACTAAGTGTGTTTTATTAACCAATAATCCTATCTGTTATATAAAAAAATTTGTTATTTTATGTTTTCTTAACTACATCACGCAGGAAGAGCTCATTGGATGTGTTTGTTTATTTTTTGCATCCTACTCGATTAGTTCTACGGGTATGTGGTAAAAAATTTTGAAAAATAGGGTTGCCAGATATTTCAAAATTTAAAATTATATAAAGGCTCAATAAAATAAGTAAGTTTTTTCATCAAAACTAAAAGTGTTCGAAGAGATTTAAAAAACATTTTTGTACGGCGCTACCACTTTTCAAAAAATAATACAACTGTTAT